CAGTGAATTTATTTAACAAAATAAAAAGAGAAATGTTATATTATAACTTTAAAAATGACTGTTTCCTTACTTGATTTCTTTTACTTTTGATACTGTGAATACATTTAAATGATCATACTTAAAAACATAAAATGAGATTTATGCTAATGGTAAATGGTAAGGTATATTAATTTATCATTATCACTGTGATGTTCTCAAGGCTCGCAGTGTCCAGCTGAAAGCAGTGGTCATCAGCGAGAAGGTGCTTGGCTTTGACCACCCAAACACCATCCAGCAATATGTGAGTATCACCACACATTTGTATATTAGAGTTTGTCCAGGAGTCTCAGTGTGATTAATGTTGTTGTGTTGTCTGTAGGCCCTCTTGGGTGTGTATATGTATGCTGGAGGGGAAACTGCCTTGGCCCAGAAGTGTCTCCTCAGAGCTCGACTGCTGATGCTAACGGTTCACGGAGAGGACCATCCGTACATCGCAACACTGGATGTAGGCTGCACCAACTTAGTATTCACTTAAGTCTGAAACGCTGTCCACCACAAGCTCAGAACTGATGCTTTTCATAATTTACTGAAATTTATTGCGTTCTTCTCACTGTTTTCTTCCAGAGCTGTCTTGGGATGATACTGTCAGAAGAGCAGAGGGAGCAGTTCCTAAAGAACGCTCTACGACTTAATACATCCTTCTTCGGCCCCACAGAGCTGCACACTGCTCTCAGGTAAGATGTCCTTTTTACCTTGTACTTTATATAAAAAAACAGTCAGTTTTTATCTATTTTGTTTCCAAATCCTCACAGTTTCTCCCCCTGCTTTCTTGTTTGTGCAGTCAGCACCTGTTGGCCCAGTGGATGTGCAGCAAGGGTGACTACAGAAATGCTATGACACATGAGAAAGAGGCCCTCACTGCTTTCACCTCACTGGTCAGTAACTACGCAAGACAGTGAAAAAGTGAAGTGGACTGAATGTGTGTGCATGTCATTTTATGGTTATCGTTGTCCTTAGTGTGGAGAGGATCACTCACAGACACGCTGCAGCAAGGAGTTCCTGAACACCATAACCAAGCAAGCGGTGAAGGTGGAACGTACTCTGAGACAGGCGGGAGCTGACGTCACTGAGCAAACTGTGGAGGTACGTGCAGGAGCTCATGTGCATTGCATAACCTTTTCCAGACTTGCAAGGAAAAAGGGAAGTGTGTTTGACCTGCTGGTCCTCTCTGTCCTCAGTGTCTAAACCCAACAACAGACACCATTCTGGAGCAGATGGTTCTGGTTACAGGGATCAGAAGGATTGCACAGAGGTAAATATGCACTGCAATATAATATGTATTGATTCTTTTGTAAATGTATATATTTATTGGTCTTTTGGAAAAATTACCAGATCTGCTGGGTCAGCAATATACATACAACAACGTGCAGCAACTGTGGAATTTTCTGAGCCAATTTGTAAAGTGTGTTGATACACTCATCAGACTCAGCCACAAACGTTACAATGGAAAAATCTAAAGAATAGCACAGCATAGGAATGAAAAGGCAAGTCACTGACTTGAACAAGTCAGAAAAACTGAGACATTTCAAAGCAGCTACAGGTCCCAGAATCATCCGTGCACACAGTTATTTATAAGTATAAAGTGGCACATTTGTGTAACTGCCATAATCGATCAAGAGTCATTGAAAATCAGGTTTGGTATGAATTAGGAGCTGCTGGAACACAGGTGTCAGTGTCCAGTGGTTTACATTGCAATGGGCTAAGATGCTGCCATGCATGAAGGAAGCCCTTCATCTCGAAGTGGCACTTATCAGGCTCCACTGAAGTTCGCTCCTGATCACATGGGCAAAGAAAAGACCTAATGGAAGAATGTTTTGTGGTCAGAACAAACAAAAATTGAGCTATTTGGCCACAATGACCAGAAATATTTTTGAAGGAGAGAAGGTGAGGCCCTTAACCTCAAGAACACGAAATCCAGCGTCAAGCATGGTGGTGGCAGTATTATGCTCTGGGGCTGTTGTTGTGCCAGTGGAACTGGTGCTTTACACAAAGAATGAGGATTACTTATATATTTTTCAGTAAAACCTAAAATCACCAGTCAGAAGCGTGGTTCTTGGATGCAGTTGGGTGTTCCAACACGACAATTATCCCAAATACATCAAAAGTGATATAGAAACAGCTATATGTTATGTAGAAACCCACTCATGGCTTTGCTGTGTTTTCATAGTGACAGGCTCCAGGAGTACAAACAAAAACACCTTGAACTAAAGGCTGCAGTGCGGAGAGAGCTGGGACTAAAACTACCTAACGAGTCTGCCGCCTTAGAGGCAGTAAACGGAGAAGAAAACAGCTCAGAACAAGAAACAGGATGCGGGAAGGAAGCTGAGGACGAAGGAAACCCAGCAGCGGAGAATACCAGCGAGAGCCAACAGGAGCAGCCAGTGGAAGAAGTGTCTGTGGAAAGCACTGCCACAGTTTCTGCTAATGGTCATGGGGCGGAGCCAGCAGTGCAAGACCAGCATGAGGAGAAAACAGATGCAGACAGCGAGAGAGCAGATTCAGATGTTGAGGTCAAGATAGTCAGTGAAGGTGTTGAGATGAAGTCAGGTTCAGGTGAGGAAAATGGGGAAATAAATGGAGCAGAGGAAATCATTGCTAGCCCATCAGTTCTTAAGAGTGAGGTGACCTGGGCAGATGTTGTTTCAAAACCAATCATAACCAATGGAACAGGAGACAAAGCCTCAGCAGTAAATGGAGTAGAAGACAGTGTCACTGTCAACGGAACTGCTGAAGAGTGAACACATAGCAAACACGAAGTTGTAGTAAAGTTTCGCAAAGTCACTGCTGTAAAGTTAAAACTCTCCCAGGATTGTTGATGTGATTCAGTCTAATGAACATGAACAACAGAATGAAATGACAGAGAGTCAGAGGATGAGTATTACCGTGTGTTGGAGATGTTACACTATCACTGATGCTGTCACAGGGCTGTGCTGTCGAGCCTTTCTTTTCCAACAATAAACTTTTTACTCCGGTGCATTGAACATGTGCCTTTTCCTCTTTAACAGAAATCTTTTAACGCGCATAAACATGGCATTTGAAGGTGTAAGTCTATTCAATAAACATCCAGTCAACGCAAAATAAAGAAAATCATGAAATCACGTTTGTGTTGAAGTGAGTGAAACAGAGCAAAAAAAGATATAAAATAGAAACTGTATGAAGTGTGTGTAAGATGTCAAAGTTGAATCTGAAGCCTGCAAACACAGGAAACATGAGCAGGACTTACCAAATGCATCATGTTAAAAGAACATCAAATCTGCAGAACCTCAAATCTGTCTGACATATTAGACAATAATAACAAACACTGTTCAATTTTAATCAAAGCTACATAACTGAAACATGGTCATGCATTAAAAAAAGCATCACTTTGAAAGTCTCCCTTGTTACTGTATCTGCTGCTACACAACTTGTTTGAAATGTGTTACGTAAGAAATGTCATCCTGAGTCTTGTTGCTTCACATATTTTAAAAGCTGCTCCTCTGCAGCCAACTCTTGAAGACGCCCTCCAGTAAAAATGTAGTTGTTTTTTTTTACCTTGTCTATAAGGTGTTTTTTGTACATGCTGGGACACGCATGTACTACTTGCTATCTATCATCCAGCTCAAACACATTTTAAGCCTCTAAAAGCTGACATTCATTTTCCACAAACAAAACATGTATTGAAAAAAGCTGGCTGTAACATATATGACTGACAGTCAGTGAAGCAATCACCACAACAGGGCCTGATAGCTAGATTCTTCTCCTCTGTGGTTCCCCGGTGGTGGAACGAGTTACCAAACTGAGCTACCAATCTGCTGATTCCCTCTTAGTCTTTAAGAAAAGACTAAAGACCCAGCTCTTCACTGAACACATTTGCACTTGACAGCCCAAAAACAAACAACAAAAAAGTAAATCCTATTACCTCTCACACAGCCTGCTCTTGGCACAAACGCCCTATCACTCTTGAATTTGTTCTATTGCTCTTATCTAGATTGTTTTCTCCTGACTAGATCCTTGCTTGTGTTGTATCTGCTCTCAGATGTACATCGCTTTGGACAAAAGCGTCTGCTAAATGAAAAACACCAGTAGGGCTGTTTAAGCACCAGACATACAGCAAATATTTAACATGTCATTCCAGTTCTGTCAGAGTGCTTATTTATCGCTGCCTTAGAAAACAGTTTGAACAGCATTGAGGCCCCTGTTCCAGGATCAGACCATAGATCTTTCAAAAATGGATGCAGCATTTGTTGTGCTTCAGTTGCAGCTGTGAACAGGTTTGATAACATCAATCTCACTGACTCGTTGTTTCAAGGCTGTGACTTACCTTTTGAATGTCAGTTTTTGCTTCCTTTCTTAGATCTAACACCAGCCTGGTGGTAGAAAACGTACTCTGTTTCAAAATCCTCCTAAGTATGTCTTATCTATAGAGTCTAAGATTGTTCATTTTGGCCTTGGTTTTGCAGCATTTACTGACTAAATTTGAGGATATTTTCCAAAAATTGCTCAGGGCAGAAAGCATGAACTAATCCTAGATTGTCGTTACCTTTTCTGACCCCATGAACCAAACTTACCATGATAGTTGCTCAGTAATACAGGATTCAACACTCAAT